TTCTACGCCTACTTTTTAATAATTTTTTGATCAATTTTTGCATGAGCTATTTTTTTACCTATTTATACTTTTTAAAGTTATTTCTATCTTCAACGTCTACTTTTTAAAAATTTACCCATTTTTAACTTTTCAACAATAATTTACAAATTTTTACAGTTTTTCTCTTGCATGACCTATTTCTAACCAATTTTCACTTTTCAACAATAATTTTGCAACATAATTATTGCATGACTGATTTTTACTATTTCTATTTCAACCGCCTACTTTTTAATAATTATTGTATTTTTTTAAGTATAAAGGGTAAAAATAATAAAATAAGATATTGTAAGAAAAGAAACTTAAAAAAAAAGTTTAAGAAACAGTTTTAAAAAGAAAAAATATGGGAAATCTTGATTGAACCGTTTGAAAACTACTTATTGAACCCTAGAAACTTTGGGAAAATTTTTAGAATAAAATTTGGTGAAAAATGTGGGGAATGGTATGGTAAGGTGTTTTTTTAAAGTTCGCACCAAACCGTTTTGATCAAATTATCCCTTAAAGGGAAATCCTTAAACCTTTGGACTCTGACGACGGAATGGTTGAATGGTCGTTTAAAAATGTGGGAGGGGCTAAATGGTTGGACCCCGCTGCCCCCAACGACTTCTCGGGGTGACTAACTACTAGGCGCCTAAATCCTCAGTATACATACTCACTTGCAGCGTAGAAAATGGGAGAAATCTGGCTTCATGACCTCCAAAATTCTCAAAATTTTCGCCTGCGGCGCAAAAAAATGAATCAAATTGGAGGATTTATGGCTTAAAGCCTTACAAAAAACAATAATTATCGTATACGGCCCTAAATATTAGGGGTATCAATGGACTTGTCGGATATCGGAGCTTATCCCTCCTATCTCTTGGTTTCGACTACCGGTCTCGACCCGGGACTCGGTCTCGGGGTTGATTCCCGGTCTCGGTTCCCGACTCTCGGCTTTTTTTAACTCCCGACCATCACTACCCCAGGGTGGGGAATTAATAAAGACTGGGGGATTACTAGAGTAAATACGGTATCACCTTAATATATTTTTAACAAATTATCCAGAAATCAAAACTGGATTCAGATAAAAAAAAATCCTGAATTTTTCTGGATCTTGATTTTTCCTGGATCCAGATCAAGAATCCTGTCCTGGTTACTAACCTAGATCCAGGATTTTTGAAAATAACAAACTCTACTCACCATGAAAGTCCGAAAAATATTATTAGCGTCCCAAAAAATAGTATATAAATGCCGCATAAACAAACAATTAATTTTTTTTCTAAGTTTATCTAAAGCCTTGCTCAAGGGCCAACGAGCAAAAAATACATAGTCTTAAACCATAGTCGGTACTGACAAAGAAACATAACGAACTGTCACCAAAAATTCGTATTTTTTGCAACATTGTGTAGAGCAGGGCCAATAACTTATTGTCAATTTTTGGCTTTTTTGGCGTTGGCCCCCAAATCAAAGAGGGGGCGTGATATGAAATAGTAAAGGTTATCGACCGTGCTCTACACGATGTTGCAAAAATATACAAAATTTTTGTGACAGTTCGGAAAGTTCCCTTGTGAGTTCTAATTTCTTCCGAAAAATGAAAAAACCCTAAAAAATGGTAAAATAAGCAAAAAGAAATATATGTATACATAGCAAAAAGTGCCGAATTTAGAATAAATAGAAAATTAGGAAAATGTTGAAATAGATGAAATTTAACTTTGTAAAATTATAATATCAGAAAACTAATGGTTTTGAGTTTCCCTAGACTATATGTACATATTTAGTAGTGTTTCACCGGAAACGAAAATCTAATTTGAGTTTAGATCTCGGAACCGGAACGTTTTCTTGGATCCAGGTTGGAACCGGAACCTATAAATAACGCATCATCGGGTTGGATGGTGGCACATTCGGTTGTGCTTCGGGTTGAGCCCTTTCCATGATGGTTCATTCCTTCTCTCATCCAATGAATATTTTTTCCACATCATGAACATTATAATGGCGCAGTCGGATAAGCCAGGCTTAGCCTGAGGAAATTTCAGCGAACCTTCAAATGCTGTGCTGATCTGAAATTCTGTCACTGTAGAGAGAAAAAGTAGAAGACCCTGTGGGTATCACTGAGCTGTTTGCGGGCAGAAAATTAAAATGCCTTGGCTGTGATAGACTACGGTAGTGTGAGGCTTTATAAAAAATGCGTAAGGCGCAGCATATATCTTTGTGTTCTCTCCAAAAATCGAACCAATGTTACTTATTGAAGACAAGCAACAAGCAGGACGCTTGGTTTTTTAAGGCGAAAGGAGTGTTGTGTCCACACTTGCAGAAAGAATCACTCAATCTCTCGATATCACACACTAATCCATGATATTACCTAAGACCTCTTGAAATCACACGATATAACTCAAAATCCAACTTAATCCATCTAAATCCTCCGATATACCATTAAACTTCCTTTTACTGCGCCGCAAGCGAAAATTTTGAGAATTTGTGAGGACAAGAAGCCAGAAAATTTTGAGAATATTGCAAGCCAAACCGGGGCAATATTGCAAAGCCAACCCATATTTTTCTAAAAAAACAAAAAGTTAGAGGCGTAGAAAGAACCGCTTTGTACCGGAACCTAAAAAACGCTGGAACTTTAGGGAAACGGAACTTCCGGTGAAACTCTAATATTTAGGTGAAAAATATATTTTAATACAAATCCGAGTCGTACTAATAAATGCGAAAGGAGAGAAAAAGAAAACAAATTGTTTACTGGAATGGATCCCAATTACTAGAGGAAGAATGATGGCCCGAATGATCATGTTGATGTGGATTATGCTGATAATGATCATATTGACTAGGATGTTGATAATAATCATGACTAGGAGGTTGATTCAAATGTTGATACAACGGATTACCCGAAAAGTTTTGACTTTCCCAATCTTGCATTTGTTGATAATCATGTAACTCTTAAATATCTAATCTTACATAAATTAATTATGATATAATACGGTAATTTGCATCCTGATGAGGATATGTGGCTTGTAAATGATCATTTCCAGAACCAGTCATTTGTGGATAAAAGACTTGATTTGTACAATCTTAAAATGTAAAATTTAGATACACATAAGTAGAAAACTAAAAAATTTCATATAGAAAAATAAAATACAAGATCGCGCAAATGACATTTTACGTTCACTAGTCAGTGAATATGATTAACTAGAATATGTCTTAGTTTTTTGTCCACACCAGGGGCGACACACACACGTTTATTGTCTCCCAGATATTCTAGAAATCTATTTAAGAATGTTGACCCAAGTTTTTCATTTTTAATCTTTTGTTACACTACTGACGGAGAAAAGAAAATGAGCGAGCACACTTTCTATGCGGAAATGCATGAAAAAATGAAAAGTGCGCATTTGTTTTGCGGACATGTAAGAATTAACTGGACCTTCCAAAATTATTATCCCTTCAAATCCACTTTTATCCCCTTAATCCTCCAATCTCTTCACAAACATCATCCAATTCAACAGGTATATCTATAAATTCCTTATTTCCACCAAATTTCCTTACATCCACAAAGTTTTTCCTTATTGTCTCTTGCGTTCACCCATGTACACGCTCTATTCTGTTAAAATTTTTATTATTCTAATTACCAAAATTGCTAGAAGTTGATTGGTTTGTGGTTGGTTCATTTTCAATTTCACTATTATTTTCATATTCATGATCATATTCAATATCTTCACCCTCAAACTCTTCTTGATTTTGGAACAAATTGGGAGCGCTATATGACTCAATCACAGCAGGAATAAACTGTTCAATGTTTTTTCCAGGATAATAATACATGTCAAGATATGCATTATAAAATGTACAATCTGTTGTAGTTTGTTGTACTATTAAACGTTCATTGCAGTGGTAAACAAAACCTCGGACCTGTTAATTTATATATACAAATTGAAGCTTATAAATTTTTTGTCTGAAGACTGATTCATGAGAAATCATGAGAGAATCTCTCATCCTATGATGAGAGATTTGAGAAGAATATGCTGGTAATTTTGCATCAATACTGTGGCTACTTTATTATATTAAAATTGTTTACTTATTTTAGGTATTTTTATCTTTTACCCCTTATCCTTTTTAATATTTTTGATTTAATTAAACTAAGAAATCATTTTATAGTTCAAATAATAGGATTTACAATTAAAACTCATAAAGTAAAAATATTTTTTTACTTGGTTACGAAGTGAAGCATAATTCCGTTTTCGCCTTTTATGAGAGGTTCGAAAAGAATGTGCTGTTTATTTTGCGCTTATGGAATAACTTTACTTTAAAAAGTACTCAGAAAATTTGTTTTACCAGGATACGTGTCAAAAATGTACATACTACTTAAAAATTAAACCTTTAATAACGCTTCAACATTCGATAATGATAACTGATCAATATCAAATTCATTTTTTAAATGGGCAATTGCCTCTTTTTTATACTTTTCATATAATTTTCGCAGTTCATAAGTACTTCTTCGATTGAACTTTTCATGTAAACCAATTAAATAAATAATTGTTTTCTTTTCATAAAGTAGGCTCAATGCATTTTGTAAATTAATCACTTCTTCTGTTCTTCCTGTTAAAAGTTTTTAATTTTTGATAAAAGTTTGAAATTATATAAGAATATTTAATTTTTGAAATATCAAAAAATTGAATTAGACTCTGAAATCTGATGTTGGATAGCAATGTTAGAATGCATTTCCTAGATTTTTGGACTCCATTCTTCGAGCTTATTCTACCATTTTCGAAATATATGGAAGTTTTAGAGCAGAGAACGGGAAAAATCCGTTTTTCACGGGTTCGAAAAAAATTTTGGATCATGATAAAGTCTAGTTTATAACTTATAAAGCCAACTTATAGAGATAAAGGCTTTTATAAAGTCAGCTAAATAAAGGCTGGCGTATAAAGTTAGCTAAAAAATGTAACTTTGAACAGCTCTTGTCTAAAACCTATCTAAAAATTAACATTTTAGAATAATTAAATAGAAATTTTATGATTAATTTTACCATTGGCATCTTTCGTGTTTGGCACAAATAGGTAATCATAATAGGAATCATTCATGTAAATTCCCTCATAGTTATCTTTAACCTTTTCAGCCTCCTGAATTAAACAATATATATCATAAAATTAAACAAATTTTCGAAAATTTTTAAAATTTACAACTTAAAATTTACTTCATAGAATTCGTTAATCGCATCACGTTCTGATATTACATCTTCCCATAGTTTAAACATTGCTTCACACAGCTGCAAATTTGATTTTATGTTCCTCTCTGGTATGCCTTTTAATAATGAAGTTGTTGAATTTTTCGCTTTTTTGGCCGTTTTGGCAACACTTTTGGCAGCCCCTTTAATAAGACGACTTGCGCTGCTCGTAGATCCGCCAGAGGAATCTCAAATTTAATGAAATGTATACATTAAATTTTATTGAAGGGTCGTTTACATATACAAAATTTGTTTGTATGACTATTATAGAACATTTTTTAAGACCTCTTTAATATGTTATACTATCAAATGAATTTTGCTATATTTGTGATCGGGTCGTACCGTACTATGGCCTTATTTTTTGTTGTTTATCGGTAGAACGGTACGGAATAAATATAGACAAGTTTTTTTGAAATACTGTTGAACACTCCTCCAAAGGGGAGCATTATTTGAGGAGAGAGTACTACTTCAAGAGGGAGTCCTATTTCAGGTACTACGGTATATTTAGCTAACAATACACTATATATCTTTAGGAAGTTAAAATATTGCTTACATCCACTTTCATTTGAGTTGTGACTTTGAACTGAAAATTCTCCACTCATATAAGATCTTTCTTCACCAGATCCATTTCCAGAGCCAACGCTAAATTCTCTAGAACCGCTACGATGTGATTTGCTGTGGCTAGAACTAGCTAGTGTTTTTCTTGCAATAAGATCGTATGCACAATCGTATGCTTTATTATGTTCTTCAAATTTTTTAACTAATTTTTCAATTTGTTGCTTTATATTCATTTTATTTTTAACAAATTCGTCTTCTTTCATTTTTTTGTTCCATTTTTTATAATTTGTTTTGAAAACGTTACGAAAATTATCATAATTTTCACTATATAAAAATATAAAATTTTAATCCAACACGTAAAATTTTACAAAAAAAAATATATTTTCCAAAAATTTAAGTTTATCTCATAGTTAGCAAATAGTAAAACGGTACTACTGAAGATTGTGGGGCTCTTTCTGCGGACTTTTTTTGCGGACTTTTCTTCCTTTCTTTCAAATGTATTTTTTAAAGTTTTGGTTGTTTTGCTTTTTACACAGAAATTCATAATGTTATACACCAAATCAATTTTATTTACTGCTTTTTTTGTTTAAATTGTTTTCTAAGGCAAAAAAATAAGTGTATGACTATAAAAACTAATCTTCTCTTTATCAATGTCTCGTTTGAATTTGCCACAGGGCAAATAGAAGAAGGAGAGGAAGAAGAAAATCTGACCTTTATGTACAATCTTATGTAAGAAAAATAATAGGGGAGGGGCGTTGACAGTTAGTTGCTACAAGTAAAACATTCAAAAGAAAGGGAGGAAAAGTCCGCAAAAAAAGTCCGCAGAAAGAGCCCCACAATCTTCAGTAGTACCAGTAAAACATAAATATGATCATACAAATTGGACAAACGTTAAATTTAATTAACCGGATCTAAAAACGAGCCCAGTGTAAACCGGACCGACATACCGCCGAAATAAAGCCCAACTTAATGCCCAACCGTACACCCAACGTAACGCCAGAAACTCAATACATGAAAAATATTTGTTACTCAAAATACAAAATATTTTCCAATTATGGGAATTATTGTTGCAAGAACGAGTGATTGTTCCAAAATTAGGAAAGTATTTGAACAACGGGGAAGTTCCAAAAATGAATGTAGTTCCAAAGAAGATTATTAAAATTTGTACGGAAATACAAATATACCTATAATACCTATAAAACATGTATTGGGATTGCGGGAAAACGTTGTGAGATGGGGGTGAATAACCTAATGCAAAAATATTTAATAATTAAAACTTTTACTCACATTTCTGCACCAATCTAAATTGAAATATATAAAAAAGTTATATTACCACAATTTTATTTTTCCTCTCCTTTCTTCATAAAAGTAGACAATGGTCAAAGTAACATATGTTATAAGAATAAATTAATTTGGATCTATGCTATAGGTACCAGGGACACGAAATGAGCGACACCCCTGATAGGTACCCAGCTTTGCATATTAGAAACTTCTGATATTGTGCGTGTATGAATTTTTGTTTAGGGCTATCTATTTCTACAAAAGTTTTTCTGGAAATACAGTAACAATTACAAATAGAAATTGTGGCACACTGCCATCGTTGGTATATATTCTAATTACAGACTCACTCTGACCTTTATGTACTTTTTTTGGAGAAAGGAAAAGAATGAAATAAACTAAAATGGTGTGAGATAATTGAATGCAAAATATAAAAACTTTTTTTAAATTTTTAAATATTCTTTTTAAAAATTAATCTAAAAAATACTAGAACGATTATAATATCACAAGAATTATAATTCGTGTCTACATTAATTAGATTCGATATTCGTTATCAGGTAACCTCGACTATAATTTATAGAAACTTTTGTTTTCAATATAAAGTTCTCAGAGAGCCCGATTCGGATCAGGCGAGTGTTCGGAACCTACTGACCCATGGAAATTTTTGAAATAAACCCATAATGGAAAATTTTTTTACTTTTTCTTCTTTGACAGTTTCAGCATGAATATAATCATTTATCATATCCTTAATTAACTGAAGATATTTTCCTTCGGCCATAATATCTTCACTCAAAAAATGCGCTTTAATTTGCCCAACTATTGAATTTTTAAACTTTTCAAGATTTGTCCAAATCAAATTAATTGAAGCAATAAATTCAAAAAAATGATTTGCAGAATTTTGTGCTTCTTCTAGATCATTTTTATAACTTTCCATGATTTCAAATTTGCGTTCTACAATTTGCTGATAATCGTTTCGTAATTTGTCTCTATTTTTAACAAATTCCTCCAAATTTTTTGTTATTTTGTCATATTTATTTTTGTAATCTTATAAATAAAAATTTTAAAAAACTGTTCAAAAATTTTTAAAAGTATAACTGACGGAAGATCCCCAACAAAAACAAACTCAACAACTCTTTTTATGGCCAAAAATTTAATAAAGTAAAAATAACAAAGTAAAAATATTTTAAAAAATGCGGATTTGCGGAAAATGCGGATTTGGTTTGGCTCCCGGAGATTTGGGGAGTGGACATTTGGGGAGAGGACAATTGGGGAGTGGAAATTTGGGGAGTGAGCGGACATTTGGGGAGTGGGCAATTAGGGAGTAGACATTTGGGGAGTGAGGATTAAAAAAATAATTTAAAAATAGATTTTTTGGATTATAAAAATAATTTATACACTCGTGAAGGTGCTTTTGTGGAGTTTCAAAGATTTTAAGGGTATTTTGATGTCTGTCACATCTGTAACATCCTCGTTTCTGCGATTGGGTTAACTGAGTACCTGTAGTTGAGTACTGCTGTTGGGTGCCGGCGTGTTGTTATGCCGGCTGAATACACCCATAAAAATAGGATAGCAACTTACCCTTCGGGGGCGGGTGTGTCGGGGATCGGGGTTTACCGGGGAAGGAATATCGGGGTTCGGAGTCGATGGGATAAAAGGATTATCAATTAGTTTTTTTGGATTTAGTGGCTCCATCTTGAACCCCGAAATATGCCTCATCCTTCTTTATTCACTCAAATTCCTTTATCCGCATTTACTCCAATGATAACTTTTAAATCTATTCTCAATTCAGAACCCCTTTTATCACACGATATCATATATCCCTCAAATTCACTTTTATCCAGCCAACTAATACAATAAATCTCCCTAATCCTCAACAAATTTACGGTCCGATTTAGGTTAACAGAAAGCTTCGGTTCGGGGTTCGGTTCGAATTTCGGTTTATCGGTTCGTTTTCAGCAACCTTACTTAGCGTAAATAAAATAATTTAAAAAGTAAGTTTAATCCACTTTAATAATTTCATCAGATGTAGGGGAGTAATATTTAGGGGAGTACTAATTCAGGGGGAGTACTATTTTTCAACCTTCCTCCAAAGGGGAGTATTATTTAAGGGTGGAGTGATAATTCAGGGGAGAGCACTATTTTAGAAAATACGGTATCCTTATAATTTTGAAACTCCACAAAAGCACCTTCACGAGTGTATAAATTATTTTTATAATCCAAAAAATCTATTTTTAAATTATTTTTTCAATCCTCACTCCCCAAATGTCTACTCCCCAATTGCCCACTCCCCAAATGTCCGCTCACTCCCCAAATTTCCACTCCCCAATTGTCCACTCCCCAAGTGTCCACTCCCCAAATTTCCGGACACGTTTGGTTTTTAGCATAAAATGTCATTATTTTTCTGCTAAGACCTTGTAAAATCCTCAAAATTTCGCCTGCGGCGCAAATAGGAAGGAATATGTGTCCTTGATCTTCCAAAATCCTCAAAATTTATTGCCTGGCCTGAAAACGAACGATTTTTGGCTTAAGGATCTTTCAAAATTAAAAAAATTTTGAAAAACGGAAGAAATAAAAAAATATAATGCATAAATTAATTTTAATTCAATTTTTGTGTTTGATAATTTTTTGCGGATTTTTAATATAAAATGCGGATTTTTTCTGTCAAAATTGCGGATTTTTAAAAATTTGAGATCAAAACTCTGTACTAGATCCTTGTTAGTGCAAAGAAGAAGTACTGGAAGCTTCATGGAAAATTAAGCCTAGAGTTCGGTGTCATGATTAACGTGATCGAATTTTTAGATATTTCGAATCCGTATATCCAAATCCACTAACCCTAATCAGCACAACCCTGTTGATCTAAATCCATTATGTTTAATTAAAAGATTTTCCAACCTCCTCTGTGAATAACCTCGCTCACATTCCTCCCAACCTTTTTTGCTTTAATTTTTGCTTCAATAGCCAAATTTTTTAAGTTTATTGCAAACTTTTTTACAGTTGCATCAATTGGATTATTTGAACTTGCACTAGATAAATTAGATGCTTGTTTTGACAATTTAAATGACGACTTTTTAGAAAGTCTACTTTTCTCAGATTTACTACTGCTACTTCCCTCCATTCCGAATGTATCGGTTAAGAGAAAAATTAAAAGAAAAATTAAAAGAAAAAATCGCATCTTTTCAACGAATTTTTTCAAAATTATCTAAAAAATTTTATTTTATAAAAGGCAATTTGAGAAGTAAGTCCAGATAACCGAAATTCTCGGTTTGGTTATCGGTTCCGGATAAATTTCCTAGGAACCACCAACATTATTCCTCACATTACATAAAATAAATTAATTTTCAATA